CTGCGGTGGAGGTCAAGGAGGTTGTTTCCTGCTTTCTCATCTAGGATGTTGATAGTTTCCTGTCTCACGTGCAGGTCCTTTATCCATTTTGAGTTTATTTTTGTGCATGGTGTGAGAAAATGATCTAGTTTCATTCTTCTGCATGTTGCTGTCCATTTCTCCCAACACCATCTGTTAAAAAGGCTGTCTTTTTTTATGGGAGAAAAATCTTAAGATCAAGAAGAGTTCAGTTCAGGACTTCTCCCCTCACCCACAGGTAACGGGAAAAATACTATTGTTAAAATTTGAGCACCAGGATACATTAGCCCATCTCATTGGGAAACTATTCTATAGGAGTACCTTTTTGAGATTAGCTGTTTTAGCCAAACAGAAAGCAATTCCAAGGCATCAGAAGTGTGTAACTCACATTTGTCCTTCATTACCGAAGAAAATATTTGCTTCGTTCATTTCAAAAAAGGAATTGAGTCTTCGATTTGTCATGTTGATTCAAAAGCCAAGAAACTCCTCTGTCTGTATTAAGTGGTAAATTAATGAAACAATACTTTACCTTACTCTAGAAATTCAAGGCATTTTGAACCATTGCTGCAATTTAAAGAAGTAAAAATTGCTGCCATTCTCTTCAAGCCGGTTTATAGTATCTAAAATTCAGCTAAGAAAAGAGATATTGAAAATGCCAATAGTCAGCATAATGCTGTGAAGTTCAGGTGAAATCCCAAAGAAAGCCTGTAATGTGAAAAACAAAGGGAGAAAAGAATGGGAAGAACACTAAGAGAGCAGAAGAGAAAAACAAGCAAGAGACACTGATTTTGGAACTAGATGATGGTAATTAGAAAAAAACATATTTTTACAAGAATGGCCTTTTTGGTCTCCCCTCTTAATTTTTTAGGGCAAGGAAAGGTAGGTACATGGTTTTTGAATCTAAAAATTGTTAAGAGTCACTACAATGGGGATCCAATCCACAGAAAGTGTATCATGAGGGAACCTTACAAAATTCATGTTAAGGGAGAGATGCAAATTCAAAATATCCTTCCTACCACATCACTGACATAAAGCTGATACTTGGGCCTTTTCCTTGTACTGTCAGTGTTGGCTTTGCAGTGGAGGTTGGGGGGTTCCAGCACTCCTACTCAGGGCCAACCAAGGTCTATACCTACACCTGTTCACTCAAGGGAGAAGCTTTTAGCTCCATTCAGGAATACAGATTGGCATGGAAATAGGTCCAGTGTTCTTGTTCTGATGGAAAAAAGATCCCTAAGTCTGAACTTGCTCCCACTGGTTAACCTTTCCTGAAGGCTTAAATGTCCCTTTGGCCAACTTCTTTGAATACATTTCAACTCTGGACCTGGAGAGGAGTACTCAGACCTGTTGTGGATTGGGGACACCCACATTTTCTTCCTCTCTTCTATCCCCTCTTCCTTCATCGTAGCTGTTTTGAGTCTCCGATATATCCCAGACCACTGTTCTTGGCACTGAAGATTGTGTTGTCAACACTTAAAGAGCTTACGTCTAAGGGAAAGGGGAAAAGAAATTGAAGACAAAAGTTATGTTTCAGATTTTTATATAATCTATGAAGGAAATAAGATGATGTGGTAGAGAATAACTTATAGGGAAGTTCAGGAAACACCTTTATGATGATGTGACAAGAATAAAAGTGACCCCACTCCTCCATAAGGCCCAAGAGAATGGGGAACTTGTTTGTCTTCTGATTTAGCCTGCTATGGTTTCTGATGGGTGCTGACGGAAGACACAAGATGCTGGGTCAGGGACAAAGCACTTTATTTCTAATGACACGGAAAGCCAGAGGAACCTCATGTTTGCTCAGTTCCTCCTGCCCCCAAATCCAATGGGGGTGATATGCAGATGTTGCACACATAATGGACTTGTATCACAGGGGAAGGACTCAGAGCTTTGGGAACTCCAACCTTTTTAATGGGTTCCAAGCAAATGGGCCTATCCATTGCCTCAAAAACACATTATCATATTGAACAGTAAACAAAATATGCTTCAGAATGAGGCAAAACTTTTATCCTTCACAGCTTTTTGCTATACAGACATCCTTGTAAAGGTGGTCTGGAATAAAAGCTGTCTTTACTTGTACAACAAGCTGTCTCTACCTCTACTTATAGGACAAGCAAAAACAGGAGAGACCTGTGGAGAAATTCCTTTCAAAAATGTGATTCTGATTAGTGATGCTCACCAGTGGGGCTAAATTTCAGAGCTCTCTTATGATTGGGTAGGCCATGTGACTACTTCCAGCCAATGAGTTGTGAGCTACCATTGCTGATGTGGAGCATTCCAGAGCCCTTGTTGTTGTTCAACTAGCCTGAGTCTGGAGTCATTAAATGAGAACCCCCAGCAGATGATTAAAACAGAACATAAGAATTAAACCTTTGTTGTTAAAGTCAGGTATTGGCAAACTACAGCCCATAGGCCAAATCTAGCCTGTTGTCTGTTTTTGTGTTGCCCATGAACTAAGAATGATTCTTTTACATTTTTAAGTGTTGTTAAAAAAAAACAAAAAGCCCAAACAAACAGAAAAGAACATGGGACAGAATCCTATGTGGCCTTCAAAGCCTAAAATTTTTACTATTTGGAACCTAGAAAATGTTTCCCAATCCATGGTCTATGTAGCCAGCCTGGCTGATATGAAGGAAAACCAAGAAAATATGCTATCAGGGAAACTAAGATAGGAAAAGTGTTTGAAAAAGTAGCCTGCCAGGAGCCGCACCAGCCTCTCTGGATGGCAGTCACAGCAAGGAAATGGCAATGTTTGCAACTCCTGCCATGAGAAATGAAAACTGGTATCTCCTTCTGCTACTACTGCAATAAGCCTGCTGGTATTGACCAGGCCTCACAATATTCCATATCAGACCCATATTCTGAATACAGATACCTCATAAGGAAAAGCATATTCCTGCCTTTACAACAGAGATTTTAGATGAAAGCTCTATGGGCGATTGTCAAAAGGCTCTTCCTATGGGCCTTGCAGTTCCAAGACTTAGGGGGTTAAGAACACAAGAATCACAACTGAGCCTGGCCTGAGACTAAGGGCCTATTTTGGGGTTAAGAGCAAAACATAGTTACTACATATATGTTTGCTAATTGGTGAAACATAACAGTCCCTTCCTCAAGGCCTACATTCCACAAACACCTTCCCTTGTACTGGCAGCTGGGATGAGGATAGATAAGAGTAACTAAAACATAACCCAGGGGCAAAAGACTGACCCCTTCAGGGCCCCCATGATAGTCTCCACAAACAAACCAATTCAGGAACATTCATCCTCTTGAGAGCCAGACAAAATACTCCTAGCTCATCTATATACAATTTGACCTATATGTTATCCTATTTTTCACTAAGAACATTCTGTTATATCCTTGATCAGAATAATTCTGCAATTGATATCACAAAAGGCCTCCCATTGTAAGAAATTCCTTTCTCTGACTTCATCTTGTTGCTGAACCTTTAAATAAAGACACCAAAACCGACAGGACAGAGATACCTGCCTGGTGATCAGAAAGAATCTCGGGGCTCTCTCACTCTCTCTCTCGCCATCCTTCAGGGACCCCTGGACCTGCCAGAGCCAGCGCCTCCGGCGGTAGCCAATGTCAAAGGCTACCAAATTAATGCACAAGGTAAGTTTCTGAGAATAAGCCTCTGGATTTGAAAATGTAGAAGATACAGGGGACTTGACTAGTTCATTTTCATTTGAAGACTGGGGGACAAAAGCCAACCATAGTTGGTGAGCATGTCAAGTGACAGAATGAATACAACCTGATCCAGAAGGTTTGCTGTGAATGAGAACAGAGCAATTAGGGGCGCCTGCATGGCTCAGTGGGTTAAGCATCTATCTGACTCTTAACTTCAGCTCTGGTCATGATCTCACAGTTCGTGAGTTCGAGCCCTGTGTTAGACTTAGCACTGACTGTGTGGAGCCTGCTTAGGATTCTCTCCCTGCTCCTCCCCACCTCATGCACTCTCTCTCAAAATAAATAAATAACCTTAAAAAAAAAAAAAAGAACAGAGCAAGAAGAGGATAACTGGAATGGGCTGCAGCGTCAAAAAATAGCCTCCTTATAAAGATGGGAACTACTAGAACATATGAATATACTGATGGGATCAATTAAGTAGAAAGAGAGCATTGTTACAGGAGCACAGGAAAGAGAAGGAAGCGGAAAGAATGAACTCCTGACATAGCAAAGTGGAAATGACCCGAGTACAGTGGAAGCACCCACCATTGTTAGGTCTTTCTCCCACTGCAATAGGAAGAAAAGGTGTCCGCAAATGCAGGAGGGCTTGTGGATTCCATTGTGGGAAGATGAGGTTTTTATCTGATGACTTCTACTTTTCAGGCAAGGTAGGGAGGAAGCAGACTGTCAAGAAGAAGGTGGGAGAGTTTGAGAGAAAGTTGGAATGCCTCAGAGTGTGGGAACATGAGACTGTGATCAGGGAAACAGTAGAATCAGCAGGGATGGCTCAGGCCCTTGGAGATGAATGATCATGAGTTCAAATTCTGTAAGACAGTCTGGCTTTGTGACGTCTCTAGCAACTTTCAGTGTTTGGATGTCAAGTGAAGAAAGTAGGTTCAAACAGGTTTGGGGTACAGTGTAATGAAAAACAGAGCAGTTAAGCTGTTATAGTGGGTTTTTTAAATTTTCTAATGTTTTATTTATTTCTGAGAGAGAGAGAGAGGCAGCGTGAGCAGGGAAGGGTCAGAGAGAGAGGGAGACACAGAATCTGAAGCAGGCTCCAGGCTCTGAGCTAGCTGTCACCACAGAGCCCGATGCGGAGCTCGAACCCACGAATCACAGGATCATGACCTGAGCCAAAGTCGGACGCCAAACCAACTGAGCCACCCAGGCACCCCTGTTATAGTGTTTTTTTTAAGGGCTGTCTTGAGGAATTCCCTCCAAAGACACTCTAAGATTGACCACCAAGTACGTTACTTTAGTTAACACAGTGGTTAAGAGTGTATGCTCTGGAACCAGAATGTCCTGGTTGAAATCTAAGCTCTGCCACTTCTAGACCCCAGCCAAGTTATTTAACCTCATTTAGGACAAGGCTAATAGTTGGGACTTTCCTCACATGGTGGTGATGAGAATTAAATGGTTATTTTTGTCATCTTTAAAACACATAGAAAGTGTTCCTAACTGATCTTGGCATCTAGATATAGGCCCGAATCTTTAGGTATCTGAAGAGACAGATTAATATTCAATTGTCAAGCTCTGCCTTAGCAACATATGCCACCCTACCTTCATTTATCCCAGCCTTTCTTCCTCTGGGGAATAAAAATGGTGCAAGCATGTTTAGAAATGTGTTTCCTAAGGCTCATTTCCGTTTTTCACTCAAACCTTCTGCAGAATGAAAATGTTCACAATGAATGCTGCAAGTTTCACATTAGAAAATGAGCATTTTCTAGCAGTTTTCTGAAAGTGAACTCTAAAGGTACAAAGGAGAATGAGCTAGGGGCAGCGTAGTAGGAAGGTGTCCCACCAGAGGCATTCTGCTGCCTAGCTCTCTGAGCTAGGTGGTGGGGGAAGATGCCCACTGGAAGGTGCCACAGGTTGCTGGCCCACTGAGTGTAGCAGAAAAGATCACGAGCATGCAGTTGTTTAATGAGATGAACACATTGGCACCAAGAAGAGAAGCCCGTTCCTTCTGCATAGTCTCTCCACAGTAACTTACTGACAAAGCTTAACATCATGCTTGCTACAAAGGAGAAATGTTTCCATGGTCCAGCTCCAATATGGCAGAGCAGGTAACAAAGGGTAGCTAGGAGCTGAAAGGTAATCAACTGATAACTGGCACTGTATCTAAAGGCTTTTGGGCACCAGAAATACTGATTGCACCAGTCCAGTCAGGGCCTACAGATGACTCACTAAGAACTGTCTGGCTGCTTTTTCAGTTGCATCTGTCTTATAAGAGGAGACAGAGAAAAACAGACCTTAGCAACCTACTCTACAATTGAACCATCCAGATAAAGGTTAGGGGACTATCTAAAGAGCAATGAATGAGTTAAGTACCAAAACATCTGACAGGTGATCAGTGCTGAAGAACTCGACACTCACTAATCAATGTTAAGCCTTGAGATTCAATTTCATGTATTGCCCTTAGTATTATCTAAAAGAAACAAAGATATAGAAAGGTTCTGAATTACTCTCCTTTTTTCCTAAGATTGAGTAATATTCTAGCTGCCAGGATGTCCCCTTCTGGAAACCTTCTCACTATTAATTCTTATCTACTTTGACTCCTCGAATCTCTTAACCAGATATAGTTTCAGACAAAAAGCAAAGTAGATATGCCTCTTTCTAGGGCTACCCCCAGGGCACATGGGCTATGGAAAAATTCTTTTGTAGGTTGCCTGTCTGTATAAGCAGTTTAATTAGAAATGAGAAATTACAAAATCCATGGACCCATGTGAGTTACAGTGATTTATTGATAAAGACTTAAAATCTTAGGTAGAGAAGAAGTACTAGTTTATCTTCCAGTCAGTGCATGTAGAGATTCTTTGTCTTATGTCCTATGTGAATGAGAGTTGCCACAAATTCAGTGTCTCAGCACTATTCTGGTGGCCCAATTTCATGTGATCCTGTGAAAGAATTGCTGTGGTGGCCAGTGGTAGTAACCCACTGCTCTTCAAACTGCCCTCCTGGGACATGGAGCCTCTCTCAGGCTCTAGGCTGACTCTAAGTATGAGCTCCAGAGCTCCACAGGGCTTCTGGTTTACCCAGCATGTGGGGTAGAGGGCTGGAAATAGCTCCTGGGAAAGAAAATGAGGGCCAGGACCCCACATAAGGTCCTAATCTGCATACCAGGTGCAGACAGCATGGCTAGCCTCAACAAGTGCCAGGCTTCAAAGGGGTATTTTTTTCAAGGAAAGCACTCCAGAGTACTGTGTCCTGAGACATAGGACTAGTGGCATGGATCTGCTTCCCTAATCTAAGAGCTCTACTGCCTCTTTCCACATTTACCTAGTTATATGTTTGACTGTAGAGATCTCTCATTTGCTCTTTTTATTTTAACTGAATATATGCAAAATGGTTGAACCACAACTCAGGAAACCACAAGTTGGTGGTAAGGCCTGGAATGGAACCCTTGGCCCCAAGCCAGCAAGCATGCCTTCATGCCAGATGGCTTCTGTATGGTTTTCTCTCGCTCTTTCCCTTAAACATTCAATATCTCATTCAGTTCCTTGGTATCATGGACTGAATGTTTGTGCCTGGCCCAATATTCACATGTTGAAGCTCTAACAGCCAGCATGGCTGTTTTTGAAGATGGGGCCACTAAGGAAGTAATTAAGGTTAAATGAGGTCATAAGGGTGAGGCCCTGATCCAAGAGGATTAGTGTCCTTATAAGAAGAGAGCCTGCTCTCAGTCTCCCCCAATGCACAGGCACTGAGGAAAGACCATGTGAAGACATAGTGACAAGGTGGTCATCTACAAGCCAGGAAGAGAGGTCTCAGTAGAAACTCAATTTGCTGGTACCCTGATCATGGACTTCCAGCCTCCACAACTGTGAGCGAATAAATCTCTGTCACTTTAGCCACCCAGTCCATGGTATTTGGTTATGGCAGCCAGTGGAGACAAATACTCTTGGCTTCCCAGGGAAGCCCTTACCAAACTACCTTCCACACTTCTCTTTGCAAACCTCTTTTCAAATTCTACCTCTTTGTTACCTTAATCCTTCAGAGACTTACTTTCAGCTATCACCCTGGTACACAAACCTACAATGACAATTATAAATGTTTCACATTCTGGCTAAGATACTTTAATCAGGACCACTCTGGGTAATTCCCTAATTCCAAAGAATAATTTCAACAATGGGCTTTTTTAGAGCATGCAGGTTAAGGAATTTAACTTTGCTTACTTACACAGGCCTTTATGAACTCTTAAATCTCTCCATGAAAGCAGCTGCCTGTCACTTGTGAATGCCATCAACCTCAATCCTTAGACTGAAGCAGTCCTCTACCTTTCAATATCCAGGCAAGGAATATTTATTTTCCCACTGGGAATAGAGAAAATAATTATATTTGGAAATATCAGTTGGTCATTATCACATCATTTATTTGAAATGGGATGGTTATATATCATGTGTTCCTTTTAAAATATTTCCTGATGTATCTATCTGTTTACTTTGAAAGATAGCATATAGTTCTTCAAGTAGGAATCATGTTGTGAACTCCTTTTAATATTTTGTGAAACAAAAGCATAACAGGACCAGAATGTATACGATAAAGATTCAAGAAATCTGTTAGTTTATTGAATAACTGAAGCTGAATTAAACTATCTGTTAGCCATGCATTGAATTACAAGTAACAAAAAATTAAACTCACAGAATCTAAATAGGGATTTGTTTTTCTCCCATATAAGTAATTTTTGAAGTAGGTAGGTTCTGGCTTTCATTTAGCTGTTCAAAACTGCCATCAGACACTTATTTTCTTTACATATTTTTTGGCTGCTCATCCTTAATATGTTGCCCTTTTTCTCACGCTTGTGCCCCATAAGCAAAACTGACTGCCACAAACAGATAATCAAAATTGTGTCCAGTCTTAGAAACTGAGTTTCTAAGAAGGCTTGGAAAATGGGTAATGTCTATGGCAGATTGACTAGTTATGATAGAATGTTTGGCTTGGAAAGCCTTGAGTATTAGCTGGTACTTTACAGAAAAAGTTTGTTGACAACTGGTCTACACTATATCTAAGCAATTCCTTTCCTAAGTGCATGGTTCCATGGAATGAAATGTTTGAGAGAGTTTGTATATGTTCTATTATAATAGCTCCAAACTGTTCAAACAATTCTCACCAAGAAGAGAGGTGATAAACTGTAATATATTCATACAATGGAATACTTCACAGCACCTCAAAGGAGTAAATTACTGGTAGACATAACATGAATGATTCTCACAGGTATATTGAACAAAAGACTCCAGACACAAAAGAGAACATAATTGTGTGGTTCCATTTATAGGAAATTCAAGAACCAGTAAAAATCGTTGACAGAAATTGGAACTTCTAGACCTGTATGGTCTAGAAATGTTCACTGTCTTGCCCAGTGTATATATGCAAGTAAGAAATCAAGTGGTAGACCTTATGCACTTTATTAATACTGATGTTCCTCAACTACAAAATTCTGTTCACTATGGAATACCTGGAAAGTATAGCAAAATTTAACAAAACATTTTAAAAAAAGGAATCATCTGGTTATTCAGAGGGTAACTACTCTTACCAATTTGCTTTTCTTCTAGCCTTTTGTTTTTAATAAGGTTTCAAATGTACCAAAAAATTGCAAGAACAAAACAAAGAACTTCCTCATCCCTCAAACCCAGATTTCCCCTTACCACTAAATATTCTGGGATATACTTTTCCTAAACAAGAACATTCTCCTATATTGCCACTATGCAAACCTCTGAAAGTCAGGAAATCAACACTGGTACAACATTACCATCCCATCCAGAAACCCCATTTAAATTTTAGCAACTGTCCCACCAAAAGTCTTTATTTTCCTTTCTGATCCAGCATCCTACCTAGGACCAGTGTTATATTTAGTGATCCTATCACATTAATTTCCTTCAACTGGAACAATTCCTCAGTCTTTTCTTGTCCTGATGTCTGCAAAACTTAAAGAATACAGGTAGCCTGTGGAATGATCACCAATAGGGGTTGGTCTTATGTTTCCTACTGACCAGATGTGAGCCACAAATCCTTGGCAGAAATAGCACAGAGATGATGCCGGACTCTTCACAGTGCATCATGTCAGGCGCCACACAATGTTCACTGGTCCCACTAAGACGTTGACAGTGATCATCTGAGCAAGTTAGTGTCTGCCAGGCTTCCTCACATAAAGCTGCCATTTCCTCCTTTGTATTTCATCCATCTTTTGTGAAAAAATGTGCTGAAATTATCCTATCCCTCCAACCTCCATCCACCAAACCTCACATCCATTGACAACTCCTGCTGGCATCAGCTGCTGTTGTGAAGGTCTGACTGTCAAGTAGTGATTATTTTCCCCATTCCTTCTCCACGTGTCGAGTGGCATTTGATTTTAAGGAAGAGCTTTCTCTTCTCCCCTTTGCATTTCTTAACTTCTTTAGATTAATATGGACTCCTTGGTTATGAAGCCCTATTGGATTATTTCAAAAGGTACAATACTTTTCCCCATTTATCAATGAAGAGGCCAGAAAATAACCTCAAAAACAGCACATGGCAGACAAATTTTCTTGGCAGTCATAATCACATGTATAGTGCATCAAAGTTCCATCCATTTTCATAAGTCACAATAAGTTTCATAAAATACTAGGCCCATTCAAAGAGAGAAAAGGCAATTTTCAAAAAGGAATATGTGTTATTAAATGAGACATTTAGTATATTACTTCCTATAGCACCACATGGGGATTATGTTTTCCAAATTAGGTGTGGGAAGTGGAATAAGCAATTAGTCTATACTCCTTTGCTAAAGGGCTGTCCGCTGGTTAATGAAAAACCCATACATCCCCTCAAAAGAAATAGAAGAGAAAACAAACAAACAAAAGCTCACTAAGATGTACCAAATTCCTCTCCAGAGTGTAACCAGGAAGCAGTCTCAATGGTTGGAGCCAAGAATTTATCACAGAGTTATTACAAGCATGCTTTCCTTTTAAAGGAACAAACTTTTTTGAAATAAAAAAAGACCAAAAAACAGTACTGATCGCTTTTCTTACAACGCACAGCATTTAACATTAACCAGTACTGAGACTAAGATAGACCGTACCGAGGAGCCTCATCTCCCAAGAGTACACGCGGGTGGATGCAGGGCATTTTTCATTATTGCAAAAGCGTATTTTAATTTTTAATCTTTGGTTCAATTTAAACATTGCTTTTAGTAGCATGTAGACCCCACAGGTGCAGAACATGCAGAGGGGTGTTGCAGCTCACGCACTTATGGTATTTCTATTCTGGAAGCTGTAGGGCAATTAATAAATAGTGTTTTGTCAAATGCACTCTTTTGGCCTTTCCTTTTGAGTGCAAAACACTCCACACACTTGGGAGCCTTCAGGCCATGGGCCTACTTTTCAACAGTCTCCAGGGTGATAGGCTTTTGTTTGTTCTCAAAAAGTGTCTCCTTGGTAGAGGGATCATTTGAGGTTAATGCTGGTCCCAACAAGCAAGAGAGGAGACTTTGGATGGTGGTGTCTCAAGTACTCTCTTTCCTTTCATATTTTCTTTCTTTTCTTTTTTAAAAAATTTTTAAATGTTTGTTTTTGAGACAGAGTGAGACCAGGGAAGGGACAGAGGGAGATGGAGATACAGAATCCGAAGCAGGCTCCAGATTCTGAGCCTGATGCAGGGCTCGAGCTCACAAACTGGGAGATCACGACTTGCGCTGACAGCAGTCAGACTCTTAACCAGCTGAACCACCCAGGCGCCCCTCATTCATATTTTCAAATGAGGACAGAGGGAGCACTGAAAAACAGACTAGGGATGCATCTGTTTTGGCTGGTGACAGGTCATACTTTGTCACAATCTTCTTGCACTGTAGTATCAAAAAGTTCAAGGGCATATGGCTCTCTGTACCCTAACTGTGTCTGCACAGCTGTCAGGCATTGCTGGTATATATTCAGATGGGAATCTGACTGTTGGATTGGCTGTGAGGTGACCTTTATTTACCAATCCCTCTTTCACTGACAATACAATTGCTTGTGTTGCGACAGTATTTTGGCCCCCATTCTACATAAAAATTTAATGTTGGCTCCAAATTCTCTATCAGGCATTGGCAGAACCATGTGGGGTCTCCCCAGTTGTTAGACAGTAGTATAACCATGATATATTTAGATGCTAACGTTATTCTGGATTTGGTCAGTGGGGGCCCCTTCAAGCTGGCTCTTACCCTTGTTCTGGGAAATCTCTTGAATATTTTTGTATATTCTGGAAAGAAATAACAAGGGGGTGTGTTATTTCTAACCCAGAGATGGAATCAGCTGTTTCACTGAGGAGCTCTGGTTCCTTTTATTGAAAAATGACATTTAGAAACTAAGTTTGATTTGAGCACTCAATATGCTCACTTCTACTTGGCTCTCCTTGCTCCCAAGCTACTTCAGCAGATGAAGCTGAAAATATATGTATGTATACACGTGTGCATACATATATATTAATATACACACATCTACATCTATAATATTCCCATATCTGTGTATATATGTATTAAAAGTTCCCACATTAATACCAATGCATCTAATTCTAATTCAGTACTAGAATTATTTCTAGGCTTTCCCTTTTCCATGTTGGCAAATCCCTACTCAGACCTAATCAGAAGGTTTTTTCAACTGGGATTTAAGGTGGGGGAAGAAAAGTCAAGATTGCAAACCTGCATATCACAGATGCAGTAAATACCACATGGCAATAAATCGTTATTGGCTTTCTGCAACTTATTTTTGTACAGACCACCTTCTCTTAGTACTTGGTGAGATCATAATGACTCAAGAGTCGCATTTTGCGCAGAACAATGAGGGGTATGCTAGAACCCAGACATAAGACAGAGATTGGCAACAGCATTCCAGGATCCAAAGTATAATGAGAGGTAGAGGTACCCCTGAGGAAGAGATTCTTTATAACTAATCTCTCATTTAACCTTGGGCTGTTCTAGGCTGCCTGCACCTAGAAGGAGCATCCTCTTTCTGGCACTTTGGGCATCATTAGCATACCAGCATCTGCCTTTGTTTCAAAGGCAGGTTAATCAAAAGTGCTTCTTCTGAATGCATTGTCCCCAACCCCCTCAACTCTGCCCCAGTTTCCTTCTTCCTTAGAATGCTGGTGATGCAAGAATGCCAGAGACTGAGCTCCTCAGACTTCTATGACTAGCAGCATAATGGCGAGGAGGTTATGAGTCCCTAGAGTTGCATTGAAGAATCTAGAGACAGAATGGTTAGCTTGTTGGTTGAATCTGGACCATAGATATTTTGTTTGACCATTTTTTTAATTTATGATTTTTCAAACAAAAATCCAGGTTTCTGACTTTTCTTGAAAAAT